AATTAATATTATATTATTTACATAATAAAATGTTTCTCAATATTGTATAACTATGTGTTGTAAAGTACTTACCTGGAAACAATGCTAAGAAACAGTTTGTTTTCAAAATTTCGCCTTTTGAAAGAATGTAGCCAACATTTTATCGCCCGAAACTCTTTGTATCTATTTGTTTTTACCATGCCTACGCTTTGACTATGAACTCTTATGGTGAATAAAAAGTAACATCGTTTTACAGATATTTTCAGATTGCAAATGTGTGCACAACAGTGAGGGAGAAGTGAATGCTGGAGAGGCATTAAAGGGTTACTGTAATTTTGAATGCCAGTGGCTTGTTCTCTACATTGCTGTCATCTGTGTGGGTAGGTTTATGTCTTCTACAACGGGAGTTGCGAGTGCTTTAGTCTTTTTAAGGTGAGTCAAACTTTTGTTAATCATGTTTTTAAGATAAATTCAAAATACACATTTTTTTTTTATACCAGATTCAAATATTGTAAGCTAAATTAAGATCTTAATGAAATATGAGCATAACCACCACAGCACAAAAAAAGAAAAGAAAAAAACAGGAATTATTAAAAACCAATCTAGTTCTTTGTTGAAGTAGCTGTATTCCGTTCAATTAAGGTAATAGGCTTTGGGAGAGCATTAAATTCAAAATAATATTTAACAATGCGTGCTTAAGTGTAATATATCACTTTTCTAACTTTAAAAAAAGAAAATTTTCTCTTCAATCCTTTCATTTTATGTTCATCTAATAAAAAACTAATGCTGACAATTATTAAAATAATGTACAATGTTTAAAAAAACCGGGTCACTCAGAATAACTTTTGATCTAATGATCGGATCTTCACGTTCTAGGGCGCGATCGTAATGATTTAAAGAGGGATTAATGATTAAGATTTACTTTCTGCACATTTCGCTGTATCCCAGAAAAATTTTCAACTGAATTGAAACATTTTTACACACAAGTATAAAATTCATTTATCCAAACATAATTCCTAACAACAAATAATTTGTAATGAATATTTATTATTTTTTATTATTTAATTTAATATTAGTCTAGAACATTTTTAATTGCTAAGTATGCAATTTTTTTACATCATTTTACAAAATATAAATTTCTATGGAATTATGCAAAATTTGAGTGAAATCGCTCTCATAGTATCTGAGAAATAAAATTTCAAAAATGCTTTATTTTAAAAATTCGAACTTCCATTTCGCTATTTAAAATTATATTCTTTAAAATTATGTAAAACATTGCATACCTTGCTATTCAAAATGTTTTCGACTAATATTTAATGAAACAATAAGTATTTATCAAAAGTTATTTTTTGCATGGAGATATATCTTTGGATAAATGAATTTTACAATTGCGTGGAAAAAGTTTTCAATTCGATTAGAAAAATTTAGAGATATAGTAAAATACACAGAAAGTAAAGTTAACATTAAGGGGTCTCTCTCCTGACCAAACTATTTGGACTATATATAGCCCAGATTGCGGCTAGCTACACCCTATATTTTAGAGGTCAGAAATCCGAATCCGTCGATCAAAAGGTACGTTTCATCAGAAGAAGTACGTTTTTGTGTCTGATTTAGTAACTTTAAATATCGTCTGCAATTATTAATTAACATATTTGTGGTCCTCCATAGAGACATTAAGATTGAGTCCTAGAACGGGAGGATACGATCATTAGATCCAAAGTTATTCAGGGGGGTCCGTTTTTTGTCGCACTGTACACAAATTTAGCAAGGCACAGTGGGCCAGCATCCAAGGTTTCGTGGCCAAAATTAATGTTTCGATAAAATTTGTTTCAAAATTTGGGGGGGTTTTAATTAGGGTTTTTTATGTGCCGGTAAATTGAATTCATAGTTGAAATTTTGAAATACACTAAAAATACCCACACAAAAAACAAAATAGCGGTTGAAATATGGCGAGCAAAAATAAAAAAATAATATAGTACGTTCAAATAATTAAATATAGCAATGAAAATATAATAATCTTCGTAATTTTATATTAAAAATAAAAAGCAAATTATATTTCCGAAGCAATATGACAAAATAACGCGAATTAATTACAAAATAACGCGAAAACAAGAAGAAGAAAAAACATAACTTTTGTTTTTCGGCACATTTATTTATTATTATTTTTTTTTAGATATTGCTCTTTAGGGCGGCAATTCCCCCAGTAACACAAACTCCCACTTTTACACGCAGGGAGGGGGGGGGTTGCGGAGCAAGCTTCAATCTCAAGCTTCCTCCCTGTGAGAGTGAATAATTCTTAGGAAAAATTTCGGCAATGCCTCTTAACTTTAAAAACCATCAATATCGGAAATATCGGTCAAAGTAAATAATGAGGATTTTTTTAAAATCATATTTTTTAAAAAAAGGTGTTTCTCAGTAATCGCCAGATGTTATAATAATAATTTAATCTATCGTAAACCGGCTCTCTCTTGCTCGGAAGCAAGATTATAAAACAACCAAGCAAGCAGAAGTAGTCCTTTCAAGACTGCTGCAAAGCAGCAGCAATTTCAAGAAGCCTCTCTATGGGAAATGAACAGTACAATTTTATATCTTTTCAAGTTTTAAAAAAAAAAGAAGGAGGGAAAAAAACGGGAAATGCGTCACATTTCATCACTGATGTTTTTTTTAATTGTTTTTTTTATTATTCTTATTTTAAGGTGAAGATTCATTGCCCGATAATCCTTACGCTGTTTTTTTATTTTTTAAGTTAAAAGATTATTGTTTGTATTACATTACATTTACTTTTGCTTAGCATTTTGTACAATAGTGCTTTTTAATGGTTAAAAACCATTGTTCATCATTCCTTACAGACTATACTAAAGGTCATCATTGCCAAGTTCGGGAGAAAAAACAAACAAACATTTCTGTCATATTATCTTGGAGTTAAAGGAGGAGACAACGTTAAAATAAAATGCATCGAGTTTAGACGTTAGGTTTAAGGAAACAAATGCTCAAAAAACAATTGTTTTAAATTTTCTAAACTCTATATTCTGTATTTTTAGTTTAAAATTTTTTTTTTGTTGACCATTTGCGTTTGCAGATTAATTGATTTGTATCAAATGATAAAGCGAATTCTATTGCAGATGTGTTGATCCAGCAGACAAAAGTGCAGCTTTGGGGGCATTATCAGGAGTATATTCCATATTAGGTAGGTAACTAACAAATCATTTACTAGTTTAAAAAAATAGTTTTATAAAATTATCAGTTTCACTTTGTTTGTTTAGCAAAACTAGAGAGAAGGTTTTTATAGCATTTTACAGTGAGAAAAATAACAAATTGAGCACCGTGAATAATTTTTGATCTAGTGATCGAATTTTCTCGAACAAACACTCAATCCGTTCGAGGGTCTAACAAAAATTCGCAGTAGACGATAGAGTAAAGTGTAGATGATATTTTAAATTACGAAATCAGGAATGAAAACGTACTTTCTCTGCATAAACACACCTGTATTTCGACGTATAAAACAAACTCAATAAACTTTTATTAAATATTGGTGAATACACAATTCTTCTTCGTTTGAAAAATACTATATAATATTTATTTGTTAAACACGTAGTCTTGATAGCTAGAAAATATGTATATGCATATGCACAAAAAAAAGATACAGATTAGTTTTGTTAAAGTTTAACAGTAAGAGAAGTTCACATTTGTAATAACTTACTTTAATTAAAAAGTGCCTTTATTCAAATGAAAAGTGAGTAAACTCCATGAGGCCCTCTTTTTTTAATTGCTTGAACACAATTATTTGCTCTTAGACTGGTTTCTTTGTTTACGAGATTACAGAATATGTAAAACAGAGTTATAAAGAAAAATAGTTTCATTTATTATCCAAAATTTTACAAACCGCATCAAATGAACTAAAAGCAACTTTATATATAGATTTTGTTCTCATTAAATGGTGGTAAATGCGATTTAAATATTTACTTTGAATGCTTAGCTTTACAGCTACGTCAAAACTCAAAAAAACATATTCAACTAGAAGCATTTCCGAACCCTCATTTTTTTTTTAAATAAGACTATTCTCATTGCGTCGTTTACTAGTGATTCAAAGCTAGCACCAATCAGATTTATAAATGATTTTGCACTTTCGAACAAGATTAGTAAAATCGGTCAGAGTGCAGAAATTTTTTTTCCATAACCGAGCAGAAATTTTGATCTTACTTCGTAAAAATATAATAAAATTGTAAAAAAGACAAATTTATTTGAAATTTTTTCAAATATTTTTTATAATTTTTTTTACTACTGCAAACCACATATTTCGGGAGAAGGACATTCCCCCCCAATTACAGCACTTCCCTCAGTAAGGAGATTAAATTATTTGAGATCTCATAACTTCTTTTCTTACAGCCTTCATTCCTTATCCAATCTTGTTTGGAGCCCTCTCTGATTCTTGCTGTCTTGTGTGGGAGCACAGTTGTGGAAAAACTGGCAATTGCTGGATCTACGACATCGAAAAATTCCGGTACATGCTGCATGGTGTCAGCGCTATCTTCATCTTCCTTGGAAGCTGTACAGACATTGTTGTCTGGTATCTCAGTCCTCGACTCAAGAACATATACAGCGATGAGGAGACACACAATGGAGATCACCTTGAGGAAGTGAATGGTGTACTCCCAGATGTCTCACCTTTAGAATTGAATGGGATAAGCAATGAATTGTTCGACTCCTGTGATAAGATGGCAATGGACCAAAATGAGCTAACAAAGAATGTAGCAGTAAACGACTTTGGTGAGGAATCTATTAAACAAAATGACAGGGAAACTATTGATACACAAGAAATTTCAAGATGCTGAGATGAATCAATTTCATTAGAACTCTTGTCATCATCTATTTTGTAGGTTCTTTAACTTTCAGNGTACTCTTGTCGGTCCAAAAAGTAAATTATAATGTTTGGAATGATTATGAATACTTAATTTGGGCTATATTAAAACTGCCAACACATATTTTAGTTGAAAATTTAATTTTTAACTTTTGACCGAAGATCATGGTCTTCTGGCCGGAATGGTCGTGAATGTTTCGATTTTCTTACAATAACAATATTGAGAATGTTCTATAACAAATTTATCAGATGTACCAAAAATGTCCGACGGTTTAAAAAAAAATTTCTAACGGAAAATGAATGAATATAGAAATGTTCTGATTAGGACTCTACCTTAAACTCTACCGATCCACCACATATCGAAATGAGTTTATTTCTCTCTGTTATAATTATCAAGCAAGCTACAGATAAAAGTGTTTGATTGATTTTACAGCTAGCAGTCCTATCAGATTAATTTATTATTCATTTTGAAAATCTGTGGAGGAATTTTAGTTTCCAACACAGAACGCCGTTAACTGTACACTGGTCTTTAGCTCTTTTTAGTTGATTTTTTAAACCCGTCATTTCTGATACGGCTAACAATTATCATTTATTCGAATGAAAAGTCAAATAGACGGAAAATGCATTAAGGAGTTAGCTACTCTTATTTATTTATTATTATTTTTTTTAGATATTGCTCTTTAGGGCGGCAATTCCCCCAGTAACACATGCACCCACTTTTACGCGCAGGGAGGGGGGGGGGGTAGCAAAGCAAACTTCAATCTCAAGCTTCCTCCCTATGAGAGTGAATAATTCTTTGGAAAAATTTCGGCAATGCCTCTTAACTTTAAAAAACATCAATATCGGAAATATCGATCAAAGTAAATGATGAGGTTTTGTTAAAAATCATATTTTCCAAAAGAAGGTTTTTATCAGTAATCGCCAGATGTTATAATAATTTAATCCATCGTAAAGCGGCTCACACTTGCTCGGACGCAAGATTATAAAACAACCAAGCAAGCAGAAGTAGTCCTTTCAAGACTGCTGAAAAGCAGCAGCAATTTCAAGAAGCCTCTCTATGTGAAATGAACAGTACAATTTTATATGTTTTCAAGTTTTTTAAAAAAAAAAAAGAAGGAGGAAAAAGAACGGGAAATGCGTCACATTTCATCACTGATGTATTTTTTAATTTTTTTTTTATTATTCTTATTTTAAGGAGAAGATTCATTCCCCCAAAATCCTTACGCTGTTTTTTTATTTTTTAAGTTAAAAGATTATTGTTTGTATTACATTGCATTTACTTTTGCTTAGCATTTTGTACAATAGTGTTTTTTAATGATTAAAAACCATTGTTCATCATTCCTTACCGACTATACTAAAGGTCATCATTGCCAAGTTCGGGAGAAAAAACAAACATTTCTGTCATATTATCTGGGAGTTAAAGGAGGAGACAACGTTGAAATAAAATGCATCGAGTTTTAGACGTTAGGTTTAAGAAAAAAAAATATTCAAAAAACAATTGTTTTAAATTTTCTAAACTCTATATTCTGTATTTTTAGTTTAATAACTTTTTTTTGTTGACCATTTGCGTTTGCAGATTACTTGATTTGTATCAAATGATAAAGCGAATTCTATTGCAGATGTGTCGATCCAGCAGACAAAAGTGCAGCTTTGGGGGCATTATCAGGAGTATATTCCATATTAGGTAGGTAACTAACAAATCATTTACTAGTTTAAAAAAAATAGTTTTTATGAAATTATCAGTTTCAGTTTGTTTGTTTAACAAAACTAGAGAGAAGGTTTTTCTAGCATTTTACAGTGAGAAAAATAACAAATTGAGCACCGTGAATAATTTTTGATCTTGTGATCGAATTTTCTCGAACAAACACTCAATCCGTTCGAGGGTCTAACAAAAATTCGTAGTTGACGATAGAGTAAAGTGTAGACGATATTTTAAATTACGAAATCAGGAATGAAAACGTACTTTCTCTGCATAAACACACCTGTATTTCGACGTATAAAACGAACTCAATAAATGGTAATTAAATATTGGTGAATACACAATTCTTTTTCGTTTGAAAAATACTATGTAATATTTATTTGTTTAACACGTAGTCTTGATAGCTAGAAAATATGTATATGCATATCCACATGAAAAAGATACAGATTAGTTTTGTTAAAGTTTAACAGTAAGAGAAGTTCACACTTGTAATAACTTACTTTAATTAAAAAGTGTCTTTATTCAAATGAAAAGTGAGTAAACTCCATGAGGCCCTCTTTTTTTTATTGCTTGAATACAATTATTTGCTCTTAGACTGGTTTCCTTGTTTACGAGATTACAGAATATGTAAAACAGAGTTATAAAGAAAAATAGTCTCATTTATTATCCAAAATTTCACAAACGGCATGAAATGAACTAAAAGCAACTTTATATATAGATTTTGTTCTCATTAAATGGTGGTAAATGCGATTTAATTATTTACTTTGAATGCTTAGCTTTACAGATACGTCAAAACTCAAAAAAAACATATTCAACTAGAAGCATTTCCGAACCCTCATTTTTTCTTTAAATAAGACTATTCTCATTGCGTCGTTTACTAGCGATTCCGAAGCTAGCACCAATCAGATTTAAAAACTATTTTGCACTTTCGAACATGATTAGTAAAATCGGTCAGAGTGCAAAAAAAATTTTTCCATAACCGAGCAGAAATTTTGATCTCACTTCGTAAAAATATAATAAAATTGTAAGAAAGACAAATTTATTTGAAATCTTTTTACTACTGCAAACCACATATTTCGGGGGAAGGACATTCCCCCCCCCCCAATTACAGCACTTCCCTCAGTAAGGAGATTAAATTATTTGAGATGTCATAACTTCTTTTCTTACAGCCTTCATTCCTTATCCAATCTTGTTTGGAGCCCTCTCTGATTCTTGCTGTCTTGTGTGGGAGCACAGTTGTGGAAAAACTGGCAATTGCTGGATCTACGACATCGAAAAATTCCGGTACATGCTGCATGGTGTCAGCGCTATCTTCATCTTCCTTGGAAGCTGTACAGACATTGTTGTCTGGTATCTCAGTCCTCGACTCAAGAACATATACAGCGATGAGGAGACACACAATGGAGATCAGCTGGACGAAGTCAATGGTGTACTCCCAGATGTCTCACCTTTAGAATTGAATGGGATAAGCAATGAATTGTTCGACTCCTGTGATAAGATGGCAATGGACCAAAATGAGCTAACAAAGAATGTAGCAGTAAACGACTTTGGTGAGGAATCTATTAAACAAAATGACAGGGAAACTATTGATACACAAGAAATTTCAAGATGCTGAGATGAATCAAATTCATTAGAACTCTTGTCATCATCTATTTTGTAGGTTCTTTAACTTTCAGAATGACCAACATCTATGCTAGATGAGTATTCGCTAATACACCTGGTTTATCCACATTTTTTCATATGTTGATATATTCCACTTATTGATTCTACTTTTCTTATAGGTTGCCGTCAACTGAGGCTACTTTGGTCCTTGTGGGGTTAATTTTAAAAAAAAATCTGAGTTTTAGATCCGATTTAAGGGACAATTTTAGGATCGATGTTTAGGACTGATTTTGAAAAAAATTTCTGATTTTTCATCGAACAAATGAAGCGAGATGAATGGGTATTTTGGAACTTAAAAAGTTTTTTTTTTTCCTATTTGAGGGTATTTTAGTCGTTTTGGGAAATTAAAAAATTTTGCCTTTGGCTATACCGGAGTTGTTGTCAACCACTGTTTTGATGAGTAAATTGCTTACCTTAAAACTTTCCATTGCCGAAAAATCCAGTTGCGCGAAAGAAATATGGTAAGTGTCGAAATATTACCTTAATTAACTTTTTAACGAAGTGCAATATTTTTTTCCTTAATTTATTTTTCTGACGATACATTTTAAAGTTTACGAAAACATAAATGCGCACCTTAAAAATATTGCACTGTTTACTTCCTTATACTTTGTTAATTTATTAAAATTTAATTTGGACGTTGAAGGACTGTTCCTTATTAGTTTATTAACAAATATGTGAGTAAAGGACGAAAAATTGTCTTAATTTAGTCCCGGTTGACGGTATTGTTTTGCGAACATCTAGCAATGAAAATTTCCGTTCTTGTTTCAAAATAGGTTCAATAATATCGTTTGCAAAAATAGGTAAAATAATAGATTAAATAATATAGGTTAAATCACTCGTTGAATTGATTTATAACGATTTATTTAGTTTAATATTCTAATATTTTTACAAGAAAACATAAAATCAATTATTTTAAAAGTCCCCCCCCCCTCATTTGCTTATATAAACTCTCCATTGATGTTTTCAATGCATACTTCAGGAGCTTACGATTTATTTTATTATATTTATTCTATTCTCCTCATCTTGTTTCTTTCCTTAGAGGCTTTCATTACGGGGTAAATACGGTTTAACGAGTCCAAGATGCCTTGATGACGTTTACCTTCTTATCTTTTGTATCATAATTTCATACTTTTTGCATGGAGCATAGCTTATAACCCCGTTTAATTTTATTATCCGAAATACGTAATGTTACAAACTCTTTAACAATACTTCGGGTGCAGTATTACTGCATTTGGATCATGCATCAAAAGTTGAATGCTTGAAGAATAGATTTCGAAAGATCGGATGTTGATTTTCAAACCCATGAATGTTTTGGGTGAAACATTGGAACATAAAATCAAAATAATTCATTACCCTGGGTCATATATCATTATTACACTTATACAGTTATTTCTATGTATGGTTTTAAAAAAATAATCCTTTTACTTTATAAATCCGGAATTAACTTTTAATTTAATGATCAGATTCTAAAGTGCTAAAGCAAACTCTTATGAGTTCAAGTGGTAGATCTTAAATATTTTAAATAATTCATAGTGATGGTAATTATGATTACAATACTAAACAAAGCTCATTGGCCCATGCGTCAGCTCAAGTTTTCCTGTGCCTATTGCAGTTACTTTTACCTTAGGCTCTAAGGCGCAAGAGTAAAGTTCCAGTTAGGTGATCAACCGAACATAGAATCCCCAATGTTAAGTCCTTCACCATTGCTCGGAATTGTACTTTTTCTGGTTAACAAATGGAAAATCGTGCAAATTTTCCCACTTATTAAATAATTAATTCTTATTGATAATTTTATTGCGTTAGTTTACTTACTAAAACATGTTTCATTAATTTTTCAACCAAATTTTAGATTTTGAGGATGTCAGTATTTTTAAACGTTTTTCAAAATCTTTTTTAAAAAAATTTTTTTTTCAATATGAAAGTTTAAAATTTGATAACTATGTTCAAAAGAACGCATTTCTATGAAACAAGGAACATTTAAAAGCAGTAATGAGTTACTTTATAAAGAAATTGTGTTTATCTAATTCTTTTGTGGGTTAACTAAGAAGAAGTGGAATCATCATATGTATATACACTTGGAAAACACTATACACTTGTATTGTGCGATGTTTAGATAATCGTTATTAAAATACGTTTGTGTATATTCCATTTTTTATTTCCGTGTTATAATTATTTTTATATTTAGAAACTATCTCATAAGTCATTAAAAATAAAAAGTATTTACATTCATAATATTCACGAATTGTAGTCAACTAAGTGCTTGTTTATAGTCTATAATTTCTTTTCAGAAATTAGAAATCTTGAATGAGGCTCAACGCCCCCCCCCCCAAGGCTGTCTAAAAACTCAATAATGAGTTTGAAATCTGAACGATTATTAGTTGGGGAATTCTCAATGGTTAAACTCTAAGTAAACAAATAACAGTGGCGTTTAGATCTACAGCCCACTGAAATGCAACAGCAAATTTTCGAACGAAGTGTAATTTCGAAAAAACTTCAGTTAAAATTGAAAGATAGGTAATAGTGGAATAAAATAAGAAAAAGAATTGCCTTTCAGTAGGCATTAGATCGGACCCCATCGTATTTTTATAACAAATTTAACTAGTGATAATATTGTTTCACACTAGGGGAGAGTGGGGTCAATTGTAACAGGGTACGATTGTAACACAGCAAAAATTTCGAGTGTCGTTTTCTAGATTTGGTTCCTAGGTGGCGCACAAGGTGTATTTAATAAATCTACATGTACACCCCTGCTGGCAACCATTTTTATGTACTTTTGAAAGAGTTACGTCACAAAAGATATTTTCATGCTACGTAAGCATTTTTTTGGTATTAGAATATTATATTGTAACAAAGTAATTTTGTTTAAACAAATAAAAATTATTTACCGAATATGTAAGTGGACACCTTAATTAACATTTCAATAAAAAAGAATTAGTTTTGTTAATTACTTAGCATTGTTTTTAACAAATGAAGCTGAAATGGCGTGTTGGGGACGATTGTAACAATAAGTAAAGGGACGATTGTAACAGCTGAAAATAAATAATCTTATGTTTACAAATCATTACTTAACTCTTTAAGAACCACCAATAGTTTCCTATATCATTTATATTATGTTGCATGTGCATTATTTTATTTGTCACCTTTCACAGCATAAATTAAAATTTTTANAAATCTGAGCGATTATTAGTTGGAGAATTTTCAATGGTTAAACTCTAAGTAAACAAATAACAGTGGCGTTTAGATCTACAGCCCACTGAAATGCAACAGCAAATTTTCGAACGAAGTGCAATTTCGAAAAAAACTTCAGTTAAAATTGAAAGATAGGTAATAGTGGAATAAAATAAGAAGAATAATTGCCTTTCCGTAGGCAGTAGATCGGCCCGCATCGTATTTTTATAACAAATTTAACAAGTGATAATATTGTTTCGCAGTACTCCTCATGAATTTTTTCTATATCCCTTAGTAATTTAAGGTTCCTAAATCTTATTTTTTTTTTCAGCAGAACAAAGTTTACTGTAAAATTGAAAACCATAAACAATGGTGGCAGTGACTATTACGATTTTTAATTCGGAGTGACCTAAGCCAAGATATTTGTTTCTTTTTACTCAATAAAATACACAATTTAAATAAATTTTTATAATAAATATATTTATGAAAATATGACCTGTCATTCATATTTTCTGATAAGTGCAATATCAGTCTAACGTAGTGACGTTCATTTTCTCTCGTTTTATTTAACCTATCATAATTGAATGTCTTTATTCTTTACTAGCTGAAATTCCGTTCAACAAACAGGGTAAAAAAAAGGATATAATCAATAAATCAGCTCTAAATAACACCTAAATCATCCACAATACTGGAAGACATATGCCAACACAATGAATAAAGCTTAAATAATTCGATTTTCATTTATTATGATTTGTAGCCCCTTAATGTGACTTTATGAAATTAGATAAATCAAAACACGTTTTTAGTTGTTCCTAGCATCAAAATTAATTGCATTCATTTAACAAAGCAAACTCATGATAATTTATCAAACGATTTTCTTCTTTAGAGGGACCACATAAATTCATTTTTACATATTTCGTAGAAGTAATAGGATGCATATTTAATCTGTACCAAATATGAGTAATCTCTGTATTTGCACTAGTATATTTACTATCTATGAAAACTGCACCAATCCATAAGACGAATAATGCCAATTGGGTACTTGTAACTCCAGAAGAATGCGATCACTGATACATAAACGAGTGATCTATGACCTCAGCGCAAGCTGATCGTTTTATAATTTTTATATTTTACAACCGTCGTTGTATAGCCAACCCACCTTTAGGTTTACGACTACTAATGTCAAACTCCGTAGCTTTGTAATTTTAAACCAAATCCAGAATTTAAGGGAACTCCTAAATCAGTACCTCCAGGGTCATGATTTGTTATGGAAACATGGTGGACCTTGTGACTCGATAGATTTAAAGTGCATCAGTCACCATTTGAAACCACGGAGTTACATAACAAATCTCCCTTAGAACAACAAATCTCCTTTAAACTTTACCGATGGATTTGATTTCATGTCTTCCAAAGATCAAATAATTATGAAAAATAACATAATTGTATATAATTTTTAAAATTGCATCCCAGCTAGTTCAAATCTCAACATTCAATTCATTTTGAGCTTCTCTCCCACGCAATGAATGATAGGGATTTATTACCCTGCTTTAGCTTAACCATCCCTGTCAATACACCTGAGATCAATTGGAATTGGCTACTGTACCAAGCGTCTCAAGTCAAAATTGTAAGGTTCAGCTAACTTGACTTTAATGAACAGTACTGCAATAAATAACTTAATGAAAAATCGTTGGTGAGCTTTTCCTTCCCGTGACAGGTAAAAATGCGTGTTAAAAGAAATGGAAGTGGCTCAAAGTTCGCTTTTAAGGATATGGAATAGAGCGAAAATGCGCCTCTTCAATGTTCAATCCAAATTTAGCTACTAAACGAGAGGATTGTGTTGGATGGCTATATTAAATATGAAACTTTTCAGGCGATATCTTTAGAAAGCCAGATTTTTTTAAAAAAAAACTTTATCTTTCGAATTCTTTCAGCATTTATTAAAAGTATTAAAAATTTTAGAACCCGTGGAATCTAATGATATGCCCATTTTCTTAAACACGCATTTCAAGAACTAGAAAAAAAATCTCACCGGCGAAATAAAAATAAAATATGCATTGACGATTGTTTTTAAAAAAGTAAAATGCTTCAATTTTAAAATAGAAAAAGGGAGTAACATTTTAATAAAATCTAGCAAGTTTCCGAGTTATCTTAAAATAATGTACTTTAAAAAGAACATTAACTACAATAAATCATATACAAAGCGTGAGAAAGCAAAGAAAAAAAATTAGAATTGAGTTTCTTTAAGTAATAAAATCAAATTTTGCATAATAATATACTAAAAGATACTTTCGATACTCAAATGCTTCTTTAAAACATTCTTTTAAGACTGTGTTTTAATAAGCCAATAGAAATTTATTGGCATCTCTCCAATACTCTTTCCCTTAATCATATTGATCGCGTTGCTGGGATAAAAATTATGTAGCCCTGATAAATTGCTAAATTATGAAAATCATTGAAGTTCAGCGAAAACACTTGAGGTTTCACTTTTGAAGTCTTAAAAGAATTTAAACATCTGCTCCCCACACGATTCTTACCCTATTTAACTCAAGATTATAATTTTATTATTAATATTTTTAATAATGGGTTTACTTTTATTTAAAAGTGCATTTATTCAACGAAATCTACTTTTGAATAAAAACTAGGATTAAGTATAATAAAAAGGGGACAGAGAAAAACGTTTTTTTATTTTATTTTTAATTTAATAAACTGCGGAGAACAACTTGAAAAATAATAACATTTGTTTGAAAATTGAAAAAGGCATAAAAAGGTAAACAAAGAAAATTATAGAAACGTATCCATCCATTTATTTTTCATACTGTTTCTTGTCTTTTTTTCATGCTTCTACTTTTGAAACAGAGAGATTAAATAAAGTTTTTAAAAAAAATCACTAAGGTTTTGATTATCATTGCATAGTTTTTAAGACAATGTTGAGTTGTAGAATTTTTTTAATTCGTCATTTTTTTCTTACGCTTTTTCTGTAATAGACCTTAATGAAATATTTAAAATTGGGGTGAAATAAAGTGGCACAATAGTTCTGGAATGATTGTTGCAAATTTCAAGCATGTAAATTGAAAATCCTAAAAAGTTTAGCTGAAAATACTTTCCATATATATTTTAAATTTCAAACTCCTTCTATAATATCACAGAAACGATTCATAGATAGAATCTTTAAAGTATGCTTGAGACCGATTCATGATATTATCGGTCCCAATTCGGTTCCTTCTTGATTTAGTCCCGTTACTAATTCGATTCGTCTTTATCCTTTCTTTAATTGCAGTGGATATGTTTCAATGGTCTTAAATATAATTTTTTTTTGTTCATAAGTTTATTAAATTATTATTTTTAGTGACATAAATTTAGGAATTTTCAATGGTTATTAAGTATTTAAAACTTATCAATTATGGATTAAGAAGGAGAATTTATGCGGATGGTCTCTTCCGAATTACATCGAAAACTTTCATCCAAGAATTCGTTACCCTTGATTGGAATTCAAAAGGGCAAAAATGAACGCAGTTTGCCGCTCATTGCAACCATAAGATTCTTGCATCTTGATAAAAATAACGAACTTTCAGAAGAAGGATTATTAACAAAATAGAATAGCGACCACATTTACTCGCTCCGGAAATGATAGCACTCGCTTTTGTCCCAACTGATAAAATAGATAGACTGGAATCTATTAATGAAAATTGACCCATTGAAGTATTTATTGCTTATTTCGAACTAGTTTGAAGATATTGGAACAACAAATCGTAAAAATATTCGTACCTTTGAGGTTAAAGTTTGAAATATTTTTTATTTTATGAATCTTTTCCACATATTTCCTTATATATCAAGATATATCAGAATTTAACGAGTAGAACAGGTTCCAGAAAGGTTTAAATGGGGTTCATTCAATTATAACCTATTTATACACCCACTCATTCTTTATAAGAAAACACTGGCTACTTAAAATCAAATTCTGTAAATAGATATT